ATGTACACAAAAACACTCAGGATTATATAATCATTTAAACAAACAAAGAGCGTATTCTGCAAGCCTGCCTCCTGGCCACCAGCACACAGCCTTTCTCTCCATGTCCTCATCTCTACCTCTATCTCTAGTGTCACTGCTTCTCTGGATAAGGTTCCACGTTCTCAGAAGGTTTCTGAGATTTTAAGTCTTCATAGGCACAAACAGCCTCATTTTTCTCCTGAGGAGCGGCTGGTGGATTTGAACCACTGATCTCTCAGTAAGCAGACCAATGTTTATCTCACTTTGCCACTAGCATTTATCAGCGTTCCAGTTTCTCCACATCTCTGCCAACACTTGTTATTTTCTGTGGTTTCTCTTGTGTGTCTGTGTATTTAATAGTAGCCATCCTGCTGGGTGTGAAGTCCTACTACTTTTATAAAGTTGTTTTATTGTTGTTGAATGCTATCGAATTGGTTCTGACCTATGTTGTTGTTATTGTTAGGTGCCATCGAATTGATACTCGACCTTACGCACAGTAGAATGAAACACTGCCTGATCCTGGGCCAACCTCACTACTGTTGCCACACTTGAGTCCATTGATGCTGCCACTTGGCCAATCCATCTCATTGGGGGTCTTCCTCTTTTTCTCTGACCCTCCACCTTACCAAATGTGGTATCCTTCTCCAGTGACTGGTCCCTCTTGACAATATGTTCAAAGTATGAGAGACGAAGTTTGGCCATCTAGGCCTCCAAGGAGCACTCTGGCTGCACTTCTTCCAAAACGGATCTATTGGTTCTTTTGGCAGCCCATAGCACTTTCAATATTCTCCTCAAACACCAAAACTCAAAAGCATCAATTCTTCTATGGTCTTCCTTATTCACTGTCCAGCTTTCGCATCCATATGAGGTTATTAAAAATACCATGGCTTGGGTCAGGCTCACCTTAGTCCTCAAGCTGACATTTTTGCTCTTCAACACATTCAAAAGGTCTTGTGCAGCAGATTTGCCTAATGCAATATATCGTCTGATTTCTTGACTGCTGCTTCCATGAGTGTTGATAGTTGATCCAAGAAGAATGAAGTCCTTGACAACTTCAATCTTTTCTCCATTGATAAGAATGTTGTTTATTCGTCCAGTGAGGATTTTTGTTTTCTTTACATTGAGATGAAATCCATACCGAATGTAATCCTTCATCAGTATATGTTTTAAGTCTGCTTCACTTTCAGCAAACAAGGTTGTATCATCTGCATATCGCAGGTTTTTAATGAGTCTTCCTCCAATCCTGATGCTACGTTTTTCTTCACAGAACCCAGCTTCTCGTATGATTTGCTCAGCATACAGGTTGAATAAGTATGGTGAAAGAATACAACCTTGTCTCACATCTTTCTTAATTTAAAACCATTCAGTGTTCCCATGTTCTGTTCGAACCACTGCTTCTTGGTCAAGGTACAGATTCCTCATGAGCACAATTAAGTGTTCCAGCGACCCTGTATAGGGTTTCTGAGGAGCAGCTGGTGAACTTGAACCACTGACCTTGCAGTTCAAAGCTACTTTGCAGGCCAGTGCATTAATCTACAGCACCACACACTTATTTGGTCTTTGGGACCATCAAAGGAGAAATGACATTATGTTGAAAACTTTAGAAATGGCTTGGACTTCACTTTCCTTTGTGGGATTCATAAGCTGCTGGTGAGATCCCCAGCAAGGACATCAGTCATGAGCTCAGAACACACCAACCTTGTCTCAGGTTTTACCACTGACATGCATGTAGGGCTTGTTGCTAGCTTAGATGGACTAAACACCCCCATATGTTTATATTTTGTGTAACTCCAACATTCAATGATACAGCTTCTTTGCAATTATTGTAGTTGTTAAGCGCCATTAAGTCAGTTCCAACTTAGAGCAACCCTGTATAAAGTTTCCAAGGAGCAGCTGGTGGATTTGAACTGCTGACCTTGGAGTTATCGAGGTATATAATGACTGTTCACACTTTGCTTTTCATGACTCCTCACTTCTTCCTCTTCATACATGTTGGATCTGAAAGCCTTTACATGCCAGAGCTAATCAAAAGACAGAAAAGGTCCACCATACTCCACTTGGCTTTAATCCAGCTCTGAAACCCACCACCCCCTACCTCTCTCCTTGTTTTTCTTCCTAGCAAATGGGTGCTTAGCTACTAACCAAAAGGTTGGTAGTTCAAATCTACACTGCATCTCTGAGGGACAAAGTCCTGTCCATCTGCTTCTGTAAAGGTTACAGCCCAGCCTGAAAAACTCTTTGAATTGGAATGGATACAAAAACCCACAACAACAATAAAACAGACCCCAGGTGCAGCTACAGAATAGCCTCCCTTATGAGTCACATGACCAACAACATTTTATAATGATAATGTGAGCGAGCAGGACTGACCAAGCCTTTGCAGGTAAACAGGATTACACTATGCCTTTCTTTTGCTGATTATATGCATTGCATTTCAGGATGCATAAAATGAACAGACAGTGACCAGTTTATGCAATCCAGAAGTCAATGATGTTATATCTATGCTGTTGGTGTTTAGGAGTCTGTTGCAACTCATTGCGACCCTGTATAGGGTTTCCGAGGAGTAGCTGGTATGTTTGAACCACTGACCTTGCAGTTAGCCGTCCATGCTTATCCTATGCGGTCACACTATGTCAAATATGTAAAAACTAACCTTGAGGGGGCCACATTAGTTTTGGGGTCTCAGGTTTGAGATAACATGTCAATTCATCACCTCCCTTGTTCCTGTTGTCATATGGGGGTGACTCCTGAATTCTGTTCACTCTGACTCCAACCTAAAATCACACTCAGAGTACCCAACATGAGCCTCAAAATTCAGTTGTTTAAGTTCACGGGTAGCTTTGTGTCCTGCTAAGAGAACTGTCTACACCATAGATAAAATGCTGGTGTGTGTTAATTGAATGACTTAAGATAAATAAGCAAGCTCAAATGCCTACAGGGACCAGATAATGCAAATGACAAAAGCAAATAGAGCAGCGAATGTGGTAAACAGGAGTTTTATCCACAGAGCCACAGCAAGATTCCCACCACTTAGCATGTGGTGGCCATCAATATCTGCTAACTATTCCTAATGACTCTCTCTTTGTAACCATGGCATTACTCAAGCATCATTGTATGAACTATTTCATATTCCCAGACACCGTATACCATATTCCTCTCTTCATAAAAGCACCCCCCCACCCCCACCCCATGCAACCCCTTTTTGTTATTAAACATCCAGATGAACAAATGTCTTTCCCCTGCCAAAGAGAAGGGAGCCCTGGTGGCAGTGTTTAAAGTTGCTCAGTCTTTCCACCAGGAGAAAGATGCAGCAGTCAGTTTCAATAAAGAGTTCAGCCATGGAAGCCCTACAAGGCAGTTTTAATCCGCCTCATAGGGTGTGGCACTGTAGAATAAACACTGGATTGCTACACAAAACTGGCAGTTCAAACCCATCAACTGCTACTCAGAAACCCTATACAAGGTCACTAGGAGTTGGAACTGACTTTAAGGTACTTTACAAACCAACAATAGGTTTACTATGTAGTCCTGGGGTGGTGCTGGAGAATAAGCATTGAACTGCTAACCAATGGGTCAGTGGTTCAAATCCACCAGCCGCTCCAAGGTAACCCCTATGCATGGTCAGTCGGAACCCACTCTATGGCAAGTTTTATTTTGTTTGTACAAAGGAACTAGAGGTATATGCTAATATTTTTAAATTTTTATTTATTTTTAGAATTTATGTAGAACAGACGCCGATTCAGCATCTTCTGCACGTGTACAATTCAGAGACGTGGAGTGGATTACATTTGAGTTGTGCGGCCATTCTCGCCTTTCACCTGAGTTGTCCCTCCTCAGTGAACATAAACTCACTGCCCTATTGTTAAGTGCCTCAGGGCGACTCCATGTAGGTTAGCTTGAACCACTGACCTTGCAGTCCTGTGCATTAAACCGCAGCGTCACATCAGGACTCCACTGTGGTTCCTATCTAAACTTTTGAGTTGAGTCTGCTTCTCGTCTAAAGTCACAGAACGAACCTGACCTGATGATGCGTGTAGCATAAGCACTGGACTCAAGGTCAGAGGTTCAAATTCACCAGTCACTCCTTGGAAACTTTATACAGGGTCGCTATGAGTCGGCACCAACTCGAAGGCACTTAAAAACAACAAAAATCTGGCTGAAAGCCAGTCCTCGCTCCCACCTATACACTCTTTCCTATTAGAAAAGTTTTCTTTACTTCGCTGCAACTACCCAGTTTCTTAGTGTGAAAATCGTTCTTTTCTGAACTCGTTCCGGGATTTGTTTACACATTTCACTAATTGCCCGTTTACGGTAAGGAGCTGGCTTCTCCACCACAAACTTCCTGCTAGGTTAACCTTCCTCGTCTAGCGGCTCCCAAAACATGCCATCCTGCAGCTGACTCTGCTAGGCGTCGGGCTGCTGCAGATTCTCCCATCCCGCCCCGGCTCTTTTCCTATCCTTCCGGGAAGTGATTTAGGGGTCGGGACAAGGTCTCCCGCGCACAAAAGGCGCGGCAAGCCATAGGGCTAACAGCTCATTAGTTCACCCGGAGCCTTGCGCCTCCCTCCAGGCAGGAAGCGCAGACCGGGAGGCCGGCGTCATGGAGCTCGCAGAGCGCAGTCTGGGGAGCTGTAGTCTCGGACGCGCAGCTTACGCCGCGAGCCCCGCTCCGCTACAAGCACGGAACGTGCCCGGGCAGAGCTCGTTTTGCTGCGGCGGCAGCGTGGGATTCCCCGCCGTCCCGGCCCCGGCGCGCTCCTCCCTCTGCAACGTCTCGCGGGGCGGGGAGAGGGCGGTGCCAGCGTCAAGTTTTGCACGTCACGGGGGAAAGTCCCCTTAAATTCCGCGCGGGCTGAAATAGATTTCCCAGCGCGCTCTGACTCCGGTCCTCGTGTGTCGAGCTCCGCTCTGGTTCCGCATCCTCCCGGCTAGCAGTCGCGTCCTGCAGAAAGAGCCGCGGCTTCGGGCAGCGGCTGGTCGAGATGCCAGGCAAGAAAGCGCGTAAGAGCGCGCAGCCGAGCCTCTCGTGGGCGCCGGCAGGTACGCACTAGCCGGGCCTGGGGGGCGGCCTGCTGTGGGGGGGTCGGGGCTCGGGCCCAGACTGGTCGAGGCAGGTGTGCGCGCCAGGGGCGTCTCCAGGAACTACTGACCCGGGGAGTAGGGTGGTGGTTCCTAGGACCGTAGAGGAAAAGTACCAGAGCATGGGATTTAGATACAGCTGTGTTTTACCTGGGGGAGGAGGGGTGGAAGGGGGGAGACGCTTCCCTTGGCTCCACTATTCTCCCCCCTACACGATGCCGATCGCCCTGCTCTGTGGCCGTGGGAACAAAAAGTGCAAATACTGGCACGAGGGGAAAGTCATTGGCACGGCAGGTGGGCGGCCCAGAGCCCCTAGTGCTAACTGAGATGGGCCCTCCCCTCCAGAGCCGAGGTCCTCCGAGGGTATCTGCTCGCTTACCAAACACCAAGCAAAGCTGCTCCTACACATTCCTATAGCTGGTTGCTACTACCCCAGCTATGCCATCCTAGGCTAAACAGGGTTTATAGGGCCTCGCAAGAATTTTTTTAGAAATCTAAAGGCTTCCTTTGAAGTTTCAGAGTAGACATTTTTAATGGTCCATGTTAATTGCAGCAGGGAGAGGGGCGCCGCCGCCTGTAGCTTGAAGACCCACCCCCCAATCCACCCATTCATTCCCTTCTCTACCTGCTCCCCCCCAATAAGTCTCCATCAGGCCACTTTAAAAGTCACCGCTGTCTTTTGTCAGTCTTATCAAAGAAGACGGACATCAATAAAGGGCTGTAGCCCAGTAAGGTGTGTGGTTGTGGCCTTGAAATCCGCGTGGGTCCTACTGCTGCTGTATCTGAAGGCGTCTGTACAGCTCAGGTAGTTTCCTCTTCTAGAGAGAGCCCTTGGACTGCAGAGAAAGTGGTGGTATTTTGTGAATGAACGGGACACCATGGGATCAGGTCTGAGGGTGGACAATCTTTGTCCATTCTGCCACATTATGAGTTCTGACCTTGCTCTCAGCAGGTCTTCCCGGAAACCTCTGGGGCCCCACCTACTAAGTTCACAGTAACAAGGGTCCTCTTAAACTTGATGAGTTCTTGGATAGATGTGCAGCTGCAACTAGGAATGAAGAATAGGCAACTAGGAGCTATTTGGGTGAATTCAGGGCTCCCCAAATTTTATGCTGAATGATAATTCTATTGTTAATTGCTATCTAGTTGTTTCTGATGCGAATCTCCCCCACATTGAAAAGTCAAAGTGTCTTTATAAATTCCTCTCAAAGTGTTTGGAGAAAACTACATCCAGCAGTCTGTAAAGATGACATTTTCTGAGATAAGTTAGTTGTCAAATAATTACTCTCCAACAGGGATTAGGAAGGATTTAGGATAGTTCTTGTAGAGAACATCTATTCAGTTTCCACTTATTTCCACTCCAATCACCGGATTTGCAGTTAATGGTTTTTCATGCGTGTAATCTTGATTTTGAATGTATTAAAAAGACCCAGAGTTGCTTTGAAATATCAGAAAAAAATGAAAATTAGGATTAGTGTAGATTTGGGATTGAGAGTACTAGTGTGGCACTGTAGGTAACCATGAGTCGACAATTCAAACCCACCAGCCAATGAGAAATCCTATACAGGGTCGTTATGAGTTGGAACCGACTCTATGGCACTTTAGCAACAAGATTTAGGGTTAACTTCACTTACCTGAAAAGTTCCTTGGACATTATGTTATCAACTTTATTTTTCTGAAATTAATATTCAGTTATTGTTAGGAGCCATCGAGTCATACCGACTCACAGCGACCCTGTGTACAACAGAACAAAACAAACACTTCCCAGTCCTGGGCCAACCTCAAATTGTTGCCAAGCCTGAAACCACATCGCTTCCGCCATGCTGCCAATGCATCTAGTTGAGGGTCTTTCTCTTTATCTCCCACCCTCCTCTGTACCAAACATGATATTCTTTGCAAGGGACTGGTCCCTCCTGATACATCCAAAGCATGAGAGATGAAGTATGGCCATCCTGGTTTCCAAGGATCATTCTGGCTGTGCCCAACACAGATCTGCTTGTTCTTTTGGCAGTCTGTGGTACTTTCAATATTCTCCTCCAACACCATAACTCAAATGTATCAAGTCTTCTACGGTCTTCCTTATTCACTGCCCAGCTTTCACATGCATGTGAGGTTATTGAAAATACCATGGCTTGAGTCAGGTGCACCTTAGTTCTCAAGCTGGCATCTTTGCTCTTCAGCACTTTAAAGAGATCGCAATTGTAAGAAGCAGGGAAATGGAAATTAAACATTACTTCTTTTCTGTTTTAATCCTCTCATAAAAGTTTGTAGGAAGGAATGTTTGTTAAAGTAAAATGTAAATGTTAAAATTGCTTTTGAGAATTTGGACATAATTTTTAAATAAGATGCAGATGAGTCTTATAAAATGTAAAAGAAAAAAATTTTTCTATGAGGTCAAGAATATGTCTTCTTTGGACTGTTACTGAGGGTATGTTGTTGAGTACCATTGATTCTGACCCACAGCTACCCTGTATAGGGTTTCCAAGGAGCAGCTGGTGAGCTTAAACCACTGACCTTGCAGTTTCTGACACATTAACCCATATGTTGTTGTTGTTAAGTGCCATCGAGTCGGGTCCGACCCATAGCGACCCTGTACAGGGTTTCCGAGGGTGTAAATCCTTACGGGAGTAGAAAGCCTCATCTTTCTCCCGCAGAGCGGCTGGTAGTTTCGAACCGCTGACCTTTAGGTTCGCAGCCCGATTCGTAACCACTACGCTACCAGAGCTCCATATTAACCCATATAGCTTAAGCTTATTTCAAGATTGGCAGTTTAAACCCACTAGCCACAGGGTCACTATGAGTCGAAACAGACCTGGGGGTACTTGACCACAACAACAACCTAAACTATAAATTTATTGGCATTTAAAAAATAAATCCTACTTGAAAACAACACAAAGGGATTTAATCTTTGACTTCTATTCACTGACCTACCTTAGATGAGAGGGAAATGGATGATCTCACCTGCTCTTGGTGAAGGCTGACAAAAAGTTACTCTTTGTGCTGTGTGACAAACTGAATGTTCCACAGTTGAAAGAAAGTAAGGTAACTTTTGTCTCCTTCAGGATGCTTTAAATATTAAAAAAAAAAAAAAAAATCAAAATACGCTTCTTTGCCTTTGCTATTTTTGTTATTTATGAGTCTTAGTGTGATAGTGTTTGTGGAATGTGTATATGTGTTTGTGTGTGTGCCTTTTAAGTCTCTCGTATCACAGAACAGGCTTGCATAAAGCTAAAATCAATATTCAACTCGCTAAGTGCCTTTGAGTTGCTTCTGACTCTTAGAGACCCTGTATAGGGTTTCTGATCACTGGTGAGCTTGAACTGCCCACATTGTAGTTCAAACCGACTGTAAATCCACAGTGGACTGCCTTTAAATGGTCACAGTAAGTCTAATTAGGTATCCTCTGGAATGTTGTCAATGCTAATGTTAAGCTGTTGCTTTCCTTTTCAGAGCGCCACCAGGAACATGAAGTTGAGTGTGCTATTCAGCTCCGGAGAATTGGAGACAAACTGAATTTCCGGCAGAAAGTTCTGAATGTAATAGCCAAACTCTTTCACTTGGGCACCTGAGACTTCTTTGGATCCTTTGTGTGGGGAAAATCCTTTAAAGGGAAGAATTCTTCAATAGGTGCAAATCTTACCAGTTGTCATCCAGGGGAACATAAAAGCAGCACTGGCTATTTGGAAAGGAAGATGGAAGTTTCTCAGCTATTCTGTGGGATGTTGAGAGTATTATAAAACCATTTTGTTTGTTTGAAGCAAGAATGGAAGAGTCTTGGAAACAGAAAGTGATGACTTACCCATTTCTCTTTTGCATAGAGGATTGTTGTAGTATAAGAGGAGTTGATAAAAGACTGTGTGCATGGTAGAAGAAACAACATGTTCAGTTAGTTTGTCATCTCTACTTTCAAATGTCAACTCTGGAATGATTGAAAACTATTTGATAATTTGTTTCTTTTGACTTTTATTGTACTGATTTTGTTCAGATGATCTTACTAAATGTATTCTTGTGAACATGAACTGGAAAGCATGTACTTGGAAAAATTCCAGACTTTATAATAGTTCTTGGTGCCAGAAAAACTTTTGCAGATTGGCTATTTCATGATAGAGTCTGAGGCTTTTGCATAATCGTGAATAATAAAGAGAGGAAAAAAAGAAAAGAAATTTGACTGTTTTACTGATGTGACTAAAAAATTTAGTAAGAGAGCCTTCTGCAGTCACCTTTGGGAAGGGAAAGAATGTTTTTTAGAAATCTGTAAAATCTCCTTTCATATATATTCAGTGTGCATTCTAAAGAGTGATTTTTTTTTTTTTTTTTAAAGAAATCTGTTTTCATACTTGGAATGTACTTTTTTTTTTTTTTTAATCTTTAATGAAGAGTAAAAGAAGTTCCTCGATCTAGAAAGAAAATTCTACATACCACATACATGAATGTCTGTGTACATATGTTTACAAACAAAGGTATCTATTTAGATACATTTACATTAGAATGCTGTGCTCTATACACATTCACAGACATACAAGAATCTCTGTGTAGCTACACAAAGGGGCTTCCAAGAGTTCTTGAAAAAATTCCACTCTTTTTAATTCCATTTTATTTTTGGAAACCCCCTGGTATTATTGGCATTAAAGTGCTATGCAGATATTAGCAAGAGTTTTTGAGTTTTTTCATTTTTAATAAAAGTTCATGCTATAAACAAAGTTCCCTAATACATAAGAATAATGTCATGGTTAAATTTGATCAGGAATAATATTTTTTATGCCTATATATAATGAAAATCTTTTTTGTTTAGTCTGAATGTACATGAGTGAACTTTGTGTTTTTCACTTGTGAGGCAAAAGTTTTGTAACTACTTGAATTCTTAACAGTAAGAATGTTTTTAGCTAGGCTTTAGTCACTTTAGATGAGAAATTACCTCAGCATCAGTGTTGCATCAAGCTGTTAGTTTATTTCAGTTAATGCTTTTTAAAAGAGCTTTTGATTTTTTTCCTGGCTAGAGATAAATCGTTTGTCACATCAGTATGGATGGTCTGTAACTATTTATATATATATATACATAATTTTGATAACTATAGCAGTAAACTTAAAAAATGATCACCTATTTTTCTCCCCCTGTGTGCTTCATTTTTTTATTATGTTCACTATAGGTCAGAAGATTTGAATTGGTTTTCATCTGCAGGACCTTTTGTGCCGGCCAGGTCCTTGTTGGGAGCTAGAGAACCCGGGGTCTCAGATTTACACTTGAATTGAGAGAGGAAGGGGGGGGGGCGATATATCTTGAGTACTGCCCAAGACCTTACATGAATGCCCTGGGGTGATTTATAGTGGGCTATAGAAATTCATGATCTAATCTGCAGTCCAGGTTCCCAGGTGACCTCATATTTCTCCTTCCCTCCCTCCCTCCCCAGCTCTTGAGCTGCAAGTATTGCTTCATCCCAGCAAGTCATGTGCTGATGTAGATGTGACTTAAAATGGCCTCCCTGTTTCAGAGAACTAAAAAGATCCTCCTCGGTTTAGCTTTGCTCTAGGAACCACACCTTAGCCCACCTCTGCCCTCCCAAACAGTGTGCTGTTGTATTGGGTTGAAAATTGCCTCCTAAGTAGCAGAGGAAGATCCCAGCTGGAGACAGGGCAGGTGAACTCAGATAACAATGCTGATAGCCCAGGAGCCTGCTGGAGATGCTGGAGGGTGGCTTCCTAAAAGGGGGTCTATTGGCTATTGGCCCTGAAGTTCATTGGAGAGTCATTTCTGCTCCCTTGTAGTCAAGAGGGGAGTCCTGGTGTGGTACTGTAGGGTCAGCACTTGACTTCTAATTGCAAGGTCAGCAGTTCAAACCCACCAGTCACACTGGAATCCCTATACAGGATTGCTGTGAGTTGGAACCAACTGAATGGTACTTAACAACTAGCCAGAACTGAATCTTGGTGTTACTTTTCCTCAAAGGACCTTTTTTTTGAACACTGTATTTTGAGGTTAAGGAATTTCTAAGACAATCCATGTAATTATGTCTGTGGGCTGACAAAAACAAGTAAGAACCTTTTTTTAAATTCGTACTTAAAAGAAAACCTGATATTTCAAAACTAGGGCCGGGGAATCACTGCTTTTAGTAGATGAATTGTCCTTGAACTTGGACTCCTTTCTCAAGTGCATGCATTAGCAGAACACAACAGGCATTCTAGAAGGAAGTATAAATCAAAGTGACGGAAGCTTAGGCCCTCCTTGGGGAGTGGTGTAGCATTTAAGTTGGGACTTGGAGGTAGAGAAAACTTCCGCACAGGTGGAGTTGATACAGGGAAGGTATCCCCAAAGAGGAAATAGCAAGTGGCTAGAAAGAAAAAGTTTGAGGCATGAGTCAGTCCACCCTGCCTGGGTGGTAGGCAGGGCCACTGGTAAAAGGGAATAGAACAGGGTTCAAAGACTAGCAGGGAGAGAGACCTGTTCTATTTCCAAGTTGTCTGCAGTTCTGCCTTCAGGTATGGGCTTTAGGGCTCTGCAGTTTTTCTTGCTTTAAGGGACTTTAGAGGCAATGACCGGAGAGAACCATTTCTACAGCTTCAGTGACTGACTAGCACTGTACAAGGACCATTCCTCTGAAATGTATACGGGCATGGATAGAGGAGTGGAGGGTGGACAGAGGCCAGATCCTTCCTTACATCAGGGAGGTGAGCAGCTCCACCTTTGTCATCATCAGGGGTTCTCCTTCACTGGTGGTTTAGATGCATTTTGAGGAAACCCCTTCTGCCCTGGTTCCTGGTTCCCTGCTTGTTCCCTGCACCCCATCCTTCTGGGTGGAGCTCATTTTAGCTGTCAGTGTTGAAAGTGGACAGGGATAAGATATATGCTAAGAATCCTGTCAAACTTCTTAAACCTTGGTCAGAGGGGCTGGTACATCAGAGAGGTAGGTGGCACCTTAGAAATAGAACCCTGGAATCCTGAAGCTGGCCTTTTAAGGCCACTGATGAGCTGTGTGACCTTGGGCAAGGCAGTCTCTGACCAGAGTTTGCTGAAACCAGGTGACTCAGATCATCTTCAAGGTCCCTTGATTTCTGCTTCTGTGAAGATTTACAGCCTCAGAAACCCTGTATAGGGTCACTATGAGTCGGAACCAACTCCATGGCAAATCATCACCAACACCATATACGGTTTCCCAGGAGTGACTGGTGGATTTGAACTGCCAATTTTGGGGTTTAAACCAACTTTGCAGTCTCTGAAGGTTGTAGACTCCTGAGCCCTGTCCTCTTCCTGACCCTGGTTCAGATGTACTAGAGAAAGCTAAAGAAAGTGCCAAAAAGCAACAGGCAAGTAGGGTTTTAAAAGCAAAATAAAAAAAGTTGAAATTATTTTCCTATTCTTCTCCCAAAAACTGAATCTAAGTCAGAGAAGACTGGCTTATAGGGGTTTTTTTAGGGAAAGAGAATTCCACAGGCTCTCTGGTTTCTCTGATTCCTGGTGTTAACTTTGTCAGGCCAACTTCTTATATGTTGCTGAAAATAGAAGGGTTACCTGGTAACACATCCAAATGGGTAAGCACTTAAATATTCTAATGTAATGGGTTGTGGTTAAATAGCAAAACCTTTGTCCACACACCCCAGGAACTGATGGTTTCCCTTTTAAAGTCTGTCAGAGATCAGCTTAACAAATCCAGATTGAACACAGTGACACTCACCCATGTCCCTTCCGTCTTGATTTTTCAAATGTGTTCATGCCCAAAACACCAGAAAAAAAGGGGAAAGTTGCTGAGAGTTATCAATGGAGTTTAGGACTTCCTGACGTGGTAAGAGGAGCCCTGGTTGGGTAGTGAGTTAAACCTGTGATTGCTGACCCCAAGTTTGGTGGTTCAAACCCACCAGCTGTTTTGTTGGAAGAAACTGAAGCTGTCTCCTCCCATCAATATTTACAGTCTCAGAAACAGTGAGGAGCAGCTCCGCCTCCATCTTACAGGATGGCTAAGAGTTGGAATGGACTCAAGGGCAGTGGGGGTGACTAAGTAAGTTCTTTACTGTACATTGTGGGTCCCAAAACACTTGATGTGTCCCATATTCTTTGTGATTAGAAACAGCACACGCCGGGCTTTAGATCTGGAGCTAAAATAGAATGTGCAAATACCCCCTTGATAGTTCTTGTGCTTCTAAAAGAGACTTCAATTCTCCTGTTCCCATTTCTGATGGGCGGTGGATGGGACAGGCCTAGTCCCAACATTCCACTAATACTCAGCTTATTTTAGAACCCACTGTGTCCCATTCCCTACCATTGTTACCAGCTTCTGGTTTGGGAATTACACTGTTGTTTTGCCTCAACTCTTTGTGGGACCACAGATACTTGAGTTGAGCTCAGTTTTGTTTGTTTTGTGGTTTTTTTAATTTAGTTTAGTTTTTTTATAAAATGGTGTAAAAGACACCTGTTTCAACCATCATGAAAATTCAGTGAGATAAACACTGGCCTAGTCAGCGCTCTGCTGGACTGTAAGGTCAGTTTGAACCTCAAGGTTGGCTGCTCCTCAGAAATCCTATACAAGGTTGTTATGGGTCAGAATTGACTGGACAGCACTTACAACACGACAGTCAGCAC